AAAATTTGTAACTGTAAAATTTGAATACTCATTATTCAGTATTCCCAAATCCCAGTCAATGCTCGCCAAAAAATTATGCATGCCCATATAATCTCCATTCATGAAAATGAAAATATTCATCATATTTTAGATATTTGTTTGTATCATTTTTTAAATCAAAATAACCTGCCGAGTGATGTAATGAATTTTGAAAAATAGGGTCTGATGTATTTGGAACACACATCAGTAAATGATGAGGATATTCAATCTAAGTAAACATTTTCTTGAATTTAAAATATTATTGATTTGATATAAATTATGGAAAATAATATTTCTGACCTACCACGGGTTGATAAAATGTATTACACCTTGCTAAACCTGACACTTATTTGAAACATTTTGCATTCCCTTCAAAAATCATTAAATATTCAAACACAAATAACAAATTTTACTCACCTCAACAAAACTGTTAGTAATGAGATGTTGATATTTGAGTCTAACTTTAGAATCTCTTACAAGTCTCATGACAGTAGCATCATCAACCAAAATGTGACAAGCATGTGCTGCACAGGCAATAGTTTGGCCAACCCCTTCTTCCATAATTTTGGTAGTGAGATATGCACACCAACAATGAGTACAAAATCGATGACCACATTCCAAACCAGTCATGTGCTACAAAAATATTATCTTTGAGTTAATTTTTTTACAAAACATAAGTTCTTTGACCTAGAATTCGTAAGGTATTATAATTCTTTTGAATTGTTGGTTTCCCTACAATTAATTCATACAAATAATGTCCACCAGATATTCTATTCAGAACTGAAAATATTTGGAGTAGTTATTCATAAAAATGAAGACACAAACATTTTTCACATTTGTGTTTTTGTCATAATCTACCCAACAATCACTTATTGTATTGAATGAGGTTGAAAAGTAATTCAAGTTAATGTATATACTTACAGAAGCTGGTAGAGTCGTGAAACAAATTTCACATACTTCAGTAGCGTTTATAGTTTTCTTAGGAAGCTGAAACAAACTATTCAATGAATATCCTTATTGAAAGTTATTAATGACAGTAAGTATGGTGGGGTCATTTTATTTAATATTTTATAAATGAAAACCATGAAACAATAGAATAATCTTTTGGATACTGAGAGCCATTGTAGAGCAGATAGCATGGTAGAAATTGGTGTATACCTATTACATTTTAAAATTATTCTCATTCCT